TCCTTTCTTTCTTTCCTTTCTTTCCTCTTTTCCTCCTTCCCTCCCTCCCTCCCTCTCTTCCTTCTTCCTTTCCTTTCTTTCATCTTTATGTGACCATCAAAGGAGCACAAAGATTTGGGAGCAGACAAATAAGGGCTCAAATCCTAGCTTTATCACTTAATAGTTGTAAGACCTTGGGGAAATTGCTTTGCTACATTTTTTTGTGAAACTGTAGATTATGCAAACTACCTTTCAGGGTTTTTATAAGGACTATAGAGGTTGCACATAAAGAAGCTGTCACATTAAAAAATAAGTATTCCATTACCAGTAAATGGGAGCATTCACCTAAATGTAATGAGGTAGAATTTGTAAGTGATCTCTTCCTGATAATTATTTTTGTAATGCTTCATTATTTACCAAAAGTAACTGAAAGTAAACAAAAGGTATATATTCACATTTGTAACTTTCTAGATAAGGACCAGTAAGCTTTATCCTTTCTCCTCTTCCTCCTGACCTTCCTTCTCCTTCTCTTCAATATGTCTATAGCATATTGCACTTATTAATGTCAGCATGAATCCTAGGGACACATTTTATCTAGCACAATGTAAAATTATACAGGTGACCGGGCTCAGTGGCTCAGCCTGTAATCCCAGCACTTTGGGAGGCCGAGGTGAGTGGAATGCTTGAGCCTGCGGGCTCGAGACCAGTACCGGCAACTTGGTGAGACCTCGTCTCTACAATTAAAAAAAAAATTAGCCGGGCGTAGTAGCACGCACCTGTAGTTATGGCTATTTGGAAGGCTGAGGCAGAAGGATCGCTGGAGCCCAGCAGGTCGACGCTGGGATGGCCGTGAGCATGCCACTGCACTTCAGCCTGGCCAATCGAGTGAGACTCCAACTCAAAAAAAAAAAAAAAAAAAAAGATTCTACAGGTAATTTTTGCTATGAATCTCCTGTTCCTTTTTTCCTTACCATGATGAAAGAAAATCCTGTCCAGAGAGAAATCCAGTCATGGGGACATGGAGGAATGTCAGTGGTTTGACTGTGAACAGCTATCGCGATCGCAGGACCTTCACAGACAGTGCATCTGTAATGCAAAACAAAGACTATGTCGGCATCACCACTTTCTGCACCCTGATGTGCTGCCGTACGTTCCATTACAAGTGCAGTGATTCACTTGGTCTCATTGCAAAACTAAAGGACTTGATTTTTACCTGCTGATATAAGGCTCAAGGGCCTTGCCAGTGATTGGAGCCATGTCCATTGGCATCAGAGCTGGTGTTGACAGCCAGTATGAATAATCGTTTCGAGATGCGAAATTACAAACATTATTGACGTTACAGAATAAGAATGGCATTGTGGTAAATCGCTGCAGGCAGCTGCCAAGAGTTCCTAATAAGACATCAGACTGAGTATCACTTTCAGTAAGTTATTTTTAGTATCATTATTTGATAGAGGATAACTAAAATGTAACCTGCATCCAAAACTGGACAAAGACAGAAGAGTTATTTGCCAAATGTAGTATTGGAAAGTTTTCATACTGATAGAAATCAGAGCTCCTATATGCAAGCCTATCCTTTCTTTCGCCTTTAATACTTCCTGTGGTTCTTTCTAATCCGTCTAGAACTTGGGGGCCGGCATAGGTCAGTTGGGACAATGCTTTTGCTTCAAAGCATTCCCACTTACATATATGTATGTAATAGTTAATAATAGTAAAAGTTTATAAAGTTAAAGCTTTATAAGTAACCTTTAAGATTAAAAAGACAAGTGGCTTAAGTGAAAATCGTTTGCAACGAACAGGACAAGTTAGGCTGGCATTCACAAGCTAGGCTGTGTCTAGCATTTTACTTTCTAGCATGGAATTTAGACATTAGGCCAATGTTGTTTTATGTGCTTTCTTTAAAATGTGCTGGAAGGTTACTCAAGTTTGTTTAAGCTTAACTTCACAGAAAGCACCCTATTTTATAAAAGTTGACAATCTGCATATAGAACAACACAACTGAAAACTAGGACTGGGACATTACCAAGGTCTTGTCCATGGGCTCGTTCATTTCCTTGTACAAAAAGAAGAGAAAACCCACTGTAGAGTGGTTCTGTCCCTTCTGGACATGAAGGAATCGCTGTTGTCTGACTGTGTCGGGTGAAAACAAAACCTCTCATTGTTGGCCCAGTAGCAGGTGATGCAATGTCTCCAGTTTTTCCCTTCAAACCTGGCAATCCATTTGATCCAGGTGGTCCTTCAAAAACACATTATAAGTGTTGCAACACAAAACCTCATACTTGTTTTTCCAAAGCACTAATTTAAATTGAGCTCCAAACATAGAAAAGAATCCTAGAGAAGATTGGCTTATAAAATAGCCCAACAATATTATTAAATGTTAAGCAGTTTATCACACAATGCTTCTTATTGTAGGTATTTGTGTGTATCTTATTACAAATCTTTTGAGATCAGATCTTCCTTATATTTGAATGCCCCTTTGAGGCCTGACACAGTGGCCTGAACTTGTAGCTCTTATGTACATTTAAAAAAAATAAATAAATGAATGAATCCTCCTATAATGTGAGGGGGAAAAATAAAATCAAATATCCATTCAAGTAGATGAAAAATTACTTATGTTTTTCATGAATTCACTATACAATCATGGAAAATATTGAAATTCCTTTTTAAAGGTTCAAACCTCAAGAAAGATTTTGATCAATTAGTAAGGTCATTTTTTAAAAAACTGTAATAATCAGTTTTTTAGTTTCTTAGTTTCCTTTATTTATATGAGTTAAAAACAGAGTAAGTGGTTTATATATTTTTCCCCTGCAGTTGGAGCAGGCTAATCTACATTTGTAACTTTCTAGATAAGAACCAGTGAGCTTTATCCTTTCTCCCCTTCCTCCTGACCTTCCTTCTCCTCTTCATCAAATAGCTATTATTTATGATATTGGCATTGGCTATCACCTCCTCACCCCCAATCCATTTTCACTGCCAACCCATCCTGACTTGACTTGGGCCATGGCGATGGTCCTTTAGGGTCCTAAGGAAATGCAGAGAAGGCAGAGACTATTAGACTTTTGGCCTGCAACATTGAGATATTGTTGTTACCCACAAACAACCATGCCATAGAAGTCAGACAGTGTCAGAGTTTAGTCTTGTTTCAGGAGTCAGTCCTTTTCATAAGGATTTGTAAAAGCCCAAATGTAATATATTTTTTCAGTCTTCTCTGAATTCTGCCCACTCCTCTGTTCTTCAGGGAACCTGGCCTATTCTTTGAAATTAACAATAGGCCACATCCAAATTCTTCAAGTCTCAGGTCTTACTTGAAAAGTCCAAATTGTCATGGCTTTAATACATAGAGGAGACACATTCTGTTCACTTTTCCTAACCCCTTCCCCCATTCACATGGGCTATAATTGGCCTCTATCAAAAAATGCCTCCCAGTCTTTGTACAGAAATGAAAAGTGATTAGCCAAGCAGGACAGGAAATGGTGTTGCACCTTTATGCAAATATATGCTATGCAAGGCTATTCTGCATCTCCAAGAAAGGGGCCAATGCTACAAGTTTATGTCAGTGCAGCTTGACTCTTAGATTCCTTTATCTTTTATATTATCTTGTTTTGAGACCAATCCCTCTCTGTCACCCAGGCTGGAGTACAGATCAAACTTGAACTTCTGGGCTCAAGCAATCCTCTCACCTCAGCCTGCAAAGTACTGGTACTACAGGTGTGTGCCACCATGCCAGGCTCCCTTTATCATTTTTAAGAGGCCTCCACAGCACTGGGCTAACTGTCTACGTGCGGATAATTTCCAACAGAACTTGTATTGCAGTACCCTTGCTCTTGCCCATTCTGAAATCCAACCTTGTTCATTAAAATTCTAAAATTAATCCAATTACTCATAAGAGTTTTTATCACTTTGAAGAGCACATTTAGTTTTATTTTTTATAATTGATATTTTTTATTATGATACTGTGGTGTACAGTTAAGGGTAGGTATACAAAATGCTTCGTTCAGGCACCCTTGTTGATAAGAGGTGTCTCCCCATCATATTTACTACCATTAATCCCATCTCCCTCCCCTCCCATAGTTTTCCACCACTGTCAGTCATTTGAAGAGCACATTTTTAAGGAAAGTTGAATGATTACTGGTACTCTAGTGTGTACTCGTGACAATGCTAAATCATAAGTAATTATGCAATTAATATGTTATTGGTATCATATTTGAGTTTTTAAAAACTTAAGTCTCTAGTCTTTACAGTCTTATTGTAGTCAATCTGGGCATATTATGTCAATAAACTGGGAAATCACGTTTTGATTTTTTTCTTTAACAAGTTCAGCAATCCTAAAAATAGAAGATTTGGATATCTAGGTATTTTCCAGAAGGGTGCTTCAAAAGTGGTGCAGAAGATAGATTCTGATCCAGGTATCAAACTGACACATGTAGCTTATGTCCACAATAAAACTTTACATTTAAGAGGATCTTGTTTAGAACATACACACATTGTTGAATTGTATTGATGAATGGTATAGTTAAAAGATGGCTTTTGGCCCGGCTTGGTGGCTCAGCCTGTAATCTCAGCATTTTGGGAGGCTGAAGTGAGTGGATTGCCTGAACCTGCGGGTTCGAGACCCACCTGGGCAACTTGGCGCGACCTCATCTCTACAATAAATCAAAAAAACTAGCCAGGCATGGTAGCGTGCGCCTGTAGTTCCAGCTACTTGGAAGGTGGAAGGGTCACCAGATCCCAGCAGGTTTAGGCTGCGGTGGCCGGGAGCATGCCACTGCACTCTAATCTGGGTGACAGAATAAGACTCCAACTCAAAAAAAAAAAAACAACAACTAAAAGATGGCTTTCCTCAAAAAGGATACTAAGTTGCTTTTCTACTCATATCAAGGTAATATTTTTCTCTCTGTACTTATGTACCACTCCTATAAATAGTTATGATTCACAACTCCTAGGATTAACCAGCAACACTATTAACTTTTCTCAAAGTAGAACACCTATTAGTGCTTCATTAGTTCTTTTTGTCCACAGGCTACATTTTGCATCAGGCTAAAATTCTGGAGCACATCTGCCCAGCTAAGAGGTAGGAGGAATAGTGTGTTTTAATAATCCTTGATTTCCCATCTTCCAAATGAACATTTGGTCCCTTTGGTCTAACCTGAATAACACAAACTGAGAGACCTAGATATTGTATAGTCACCCACTCAGACAAGACTTCTGTGTATATTGAAAGAGCACACTTCAGTGACTGAAACAAGCTGAGTGTTTGTTTACCTTGCTCTCCTTTAGAACCTTTGTTGCCTTTTTCTCCAACTGGTCCAGGAGTTCCTGGTTTTCCATCCTTGCCTGGTTTACCTCTTGGTCCACAGGGTCCTAGGCAAAACCCGACATTGCATTAGAGTTCATCATATAGCATGAAAAGCAAGGTGGTCAACCACCCTGTTAAACTGGGACCTTCCCTTTCAGCAATGAAAGTCCTGCATTCCAAGAATATCCTTAGTCCTGGGCAAACTGAGATGGTTAGTCATCAAACTCATTACCCCTACTTCCCAGAAAAAAAGATTATCAAAAATGAACTATGAGGTTATTAAATACAGCAGTTTAAAATTGTGCTGCCATTTTATGTTCTTCCAGAATTCACTATGCCCATGTGTTGATCAAACTAATAAGTAATGTCTTTCTTATCTCCCAGCTGATTCTGACAAAATAATTCCATTTGGAAGTCTATTACAACATGCTACGCTTATATAAAGAGGTTAGTTCAATTTCCAAACACCAATGTTTTGAAAATATTTTAAAATCATTTTTCTGATACTTCAAAAAAATGTTAGAAAAGTATAAATTCATAGAACTCAGGTATATTTAGGCAATCGTTCATAAATAGAGCTCGAATACTGACAGTTGTCAGAGGAGATAGACATAAAATCTTTATCTTAATTATATATAAATATATATACACATATATATGAACAAAAAACATGGTGTCTTAAAGTGTATTTGCTCAAGTTTATGCTATGTATGACAGTTTTCAATAAAGTCCAAGGTCTTTTATTTGCTTGTCAAGGGTAAAATGAGCTTAGTTCTAGAACTGATTGTGAAAAACCCTATAATGTTTAACATTTTCTGTGAAGTCGTATCATTTGCTTCCAAAGCACTTTGCAGGTATTTTGCTTCAACCACTTCCTTAGTGACCCAATTCAATGCTGCCAGTCCCACACCTAGATTTCCAGGTGGCCCTGGTGGCCCAGGTTCTCCCTGCATTCCTGGTTCTCCAGGTATACCAGGTGGCCCTGGACTTCCTGGAAGAGAGATGATCTGCAGTGTGCCTGGGTCTCCACGTACACCTGATGACATAAACATAAGAAAAAGATGATGGCTTCACTGATGCATTACCCTTTCTTCATGGAGAGCAATAAATAGTAAGGAAATGTATTTACCAGGTGGTCCTTTTGGCCCAATTGGCCCTGGAGGTCCAATGGATCCGGGAAATCCTGGATTACCCTTTTCTCCTAAAAAGAAAGAAAGAGAGAAAGAAAGAAAGAAAGAAAGAGACAATGCGATTCCACTTAAAACAATGGATTTCCTAGCTCTTGAGCTTGGTGATCTCCTATTTTTTTTAAGACATGGGGGTACAATTCAGGATTAAGTATACAAGTGGTTGGTGATCTACTTTAAGGATAAATACTGGAAGTGTGGTTGGAGGTTCTGTCCTGTGGGTTCTATAACAATGGCTACAATTATGTTCATGTGGGTTTTGGCATGTCATTTGGGCCCAATAGGTCATGCTTAATCAGTCTATTAAGAAATATACCCCAGAAGTAGGCATTAGGAAATTGTATTTTTATATTTTTAACATTGGGCAGGAAGGGTTCCTAAGAGTTCGCTTTTTGAGTTCAGAAACCAATTCAAACCAATGTAATATTTCAGGTAAGATATAAAGTCACACTTAAACTTGTTTTAATACTTCCTGGTGAATTGTATTGCTTGGTTATCATGGCTATCTACTTGCTCAGCTTATTACTCTAGCTTTACTCATAGTCCAGAGTTAGTTATGTCAGGAACTCTCTTGAATACATATAGACTATTTGCTTTGATGTGAACTAACAAAGTGGTAAGATTTCTCTTCTATCATAATCTTTTACACAAATAAAAGAAGGTTATCAAGAGCCATTTATTTGGAGAAATACTGTTTTAAAGAATCTTGAAATAGCATAGACATTACATCTGATTACTTAGACTTTAAGTATAATATTAATAGAGGAAATACAGTAAAATAATTATACCACTAAAAATTAACTGGCAACTACACTGTTAATTACCCCTTAATATTAGAATTTAAGGAAGGTGTTAATATTTACTTACATTCATCAGAAGAAGTCTAAATGTTTCTCCCTTGGGGGATTAAGCATTTCCAAATCAAGAAGAGCAAACTTATCAGTAGTGCCAGCTAATAGCCTTATTTGGAAATCTAAGAGAGTAACTAAATATGCTTCATGGAACATATTTCAAAAGAACCAGTTTTAAGAATCTCTTCTCTAAATACCTCTAAATATTTCACCAAAATATTTCTTTCTTTAGTATGGCCTTTATAGTGTTGTCTGATCTTAGATATTCTTCTTTTGGGCTCAGGTGATCCTTTCACCTCAGCCTTCCAAGTAGCTGGAACCATAGGCATGTGCCACCATGCCTGGTTAACTTTTTGATTTATTGTTGAGACAAGGTCTCACCATGTTAGCCTAGACTGGTTTCAAACCCATGGACTCAGGCAATCCTCTTGCCTCGATCTCCCAAAGTGTGTGAGCCACTGCACCTGGCTTAGGTATTCTTTTTTTTCCCCCTTTTAATTTTTTTTTATTTTTTATTTTAAAGATGTGGGGTACAATTCATGGTTAGGTATACAAATGTTCATTATGCAGGTACCCTTGTTGATGAGGTGTGCCCCCCTCTCCCCGAGGCAAATTCCCACTATTGCCAGTCTCGCTTTCCTGCTCCCCTCCTGACAGTTTCCCACTACTGCCAATCCTTTTCTTATAGTGTTACGATAATTGTTCAAGGTCTGCTTATGAGTGAGAACATATAATACTCAGATCTTTGTTTCTGTGAAAGATCACTTAGTATTATAGACTTTAAGTCTGTCCAAGTTGCTGTGAAGTTCATGATTTTGTTCTTCTTTATGGCTGCATAATATTCCCTCATGTATATGTACCATATTTTTAAAATCCAGTCCTCTTTTGATGGGCAGCACGGTTGGTTCCATGTTCTTGCTACTGTGAAAAATGCTACGATAAGCATACGTGTGCAGATATCTTTTTTACAGAATGATCTGAGTTCTTCCGGGTAAATTCCCAGTAGGAGAATTATGGGGTTGTATGGAAGGTCGATTTTTAGATTTCTTAGGAAATGCCACACTGTTTTTCACAGAGGCTGTACTAGTTTACACTTCTACCAGCAGTGTAAAAATGTTCCCTTTTCACCACATCCTCTCCAGCATCTGTTGTTTTTTGAGTTATTGATGATAGCCATCCTGACTGGAGTTAAGAGGTCTCTCAGTGTAGTTTTAATTTGCATTTCTTTGATGACTAGTGAGGCTCAGTATTTTTTCATGCTAGATATTCTTATTCTGATACTTGAGGAAGTGATGAGTGTGACAAATTTTTCCCAGGTTGCCTGCCGGTAGTCACCCACCCAGTGTCTAGTGAAACTTTTTGGAATAACTTGCTTTGATTTATTCTCAGCTAATTTGCTCCTTAAAGAATCAGTGATTGAAAGTCTTGAAAAGGACCTTTCTTAAGTCTGCTTTGTCTTCTCCTCAACCTGGAAAAGGCTTTCTATGTGAAAATGTGGCTTTGTTCACTTTGGATACACTTGTTATTTAGCATCTCTGTAGTCTGTGATAATAGAGTCCAGACCATACAAAAACAATACCAGATGAATTAACATGATACGACAATGAATAAAATATTCAAAACCTTATTTAAAGTTATAGTACACTATGGAAGACTTGAGAATTATTTTCTGAAACCCAAAGTTTAAATTTCTGTGTGTTAATATTTTAAACTTAAAACTCCCTCAGATTATAGGTTTTTTTCTTTGGGACCAAAACCAATGTGTCCCATAAAAATAAAAATACATAAATCTGTTTATAAAAATTTACCTACTTTTCCTCTACTATCAACCTGGTGGATGCTTTTAAAAAATTTTCAGCTTTTAAAAATTATAAAAGTAACACATGTATATGATAAAATAGACAACTCAAAAACAATACTATTAATATTGATGTAGTTGCCCATTTCTCGCATCCCATCCCAAATACATCAATACTCTCAAAGGTAGCCACTTTAAACTCTTCCTGTTTTTAGTTTAGTTTTTATATAGTTTCCAACCTTAAGTTATGGTTTTAATTGTTAAGCCTCATGGGGTTGGGTGCTGGTAAAGTCTTCCTTCTTCATTTATTTTGAGGTTCTATTTGTACTAACCTCAATTGTCAGTGCTGACTGACTATAGGAGTCTAGCAAATACTTGTGTGCCCTAAAATATGAATTGCAGTTATCTTATTTGCATGTAAAGAACAGTACACAAAAACAGTACCTTTCAAGCCTGGAAACCCATGGAATCCAGGATCACCTCTGAGTCCTGGAAAACCTGGGGTGCCGGGTGCTCCCTATATTTCAAATGAAAGGGAGGAGAACCACAGACAGATTTTTAAAATCACAATATTCACATAATTTTTTGAAGGCAAATAGGATATGTTAAGTAAGAATACACTGAATTTGGCAGTCTTCATTTTGATCTTTCAATTGAGTATTTCACCTGCCTATAACTCCTCTGGCCACTAGAACCTTTCCTTAGGCCTATCATTAAAAATATAAAATTTAAAAACAGAAACTTAGAGTAACTTAGGTAAACATAGAGGAAGGCTGGTGCCAGGAGGGAGGTGTTCCGTGCAGGGAGAGAGCTGTTAAGGACACAGAGACAGTTAAGGTATTTATCAAGAATTATGTTTTGGGTGGAGCCTGCCTCATGCACTTTGAGCAGATTCATTTTCATGACTGCCTGACCCTGTTTCTTCTTGTTGTGAGGCCCGTGCTGTCACCTTTCTTTCCACCTGAACTATTCCTGAAGCCAAGATTGAAACCACTTATGTAAAATTTCCTCCATGTCCTGATACTTGGGGGAGGGACAAGGCTGATCAACATATTTTTCCTTAAATAATGGACCTAAAACTGCTTGAGGACAAAGACCCAGTTGAAGGACAAAGCAGATTCAATCTCTAGGGATTGCCACCTTCCCCCACACCTTTCTCCTGGACTGCCTCTGTATTGACTCAGGGGTAGTACCTGATTCATGGGACTTGTTTTATTGACAGCGTCTGTCATAAAACCCAAGAATGGTATTTGAGTTCTTTTTTTCATTTTTTAAAAATCCTTTGTCTCTACTGGAAAACTCTTATGCAATTTATTTATTTATTTATTTTTGAGTTGGAGTCTCACTCTGTCACCCAGACTGGAGTGCAGTGGCCGCTCCCAGCCACTGCAACCTCGACCCGCTGGGCTCCGGCGATCCTTCCGCCTCAGCCTTCCAAGTAGCTGGAACTACTGGCGCACGCTACCACACCCAGCTCATTTTTTGATTTATTATAGAGATGAGGTCTCACCAAGTTGCCCAGGCAGGTCTCGAACCCGCGGGCTCAGGCAACCCACTCACCTCGGCCTCCCAAAGTGCTGGGATTACAGGCTGAGCCACCGAGTCCGGCCACAATTTATTTTTATTCTTTATTTATCTCTACTGGATACCTATATCTTTTTCATACTTTATACTCTGGTGGCCCAAACTCCTACCCAGTCACGTAGAGTGATTCTTAAACTCCTAGCTGCTTTTTGAAGATTCCATCCATGGAATTATTCAGAGTCTCAACAAGATAGGGTCAAGCAATGTGGTAGAGGTGAGTCCTATATAGACCCAAGTTTTAGAGGCCTCTTAGAGGCAAGATCTTTCCGACTCTTAAGATCCTCTGATTTCCTCTGAACCTTCTGGGCTCTGTCTTCCCTTAGGCACACTGCACAGATGCATCCAAAGTTGTAAATTTTGCTGCCTCCAGGTACATCAGATCCTGGCAATAGATTTCCAAGAGTATAATAATACTCTTATACTATTAAGTCAATATTACTAAAGTTGACATATGCAATATAACGTACAATATAACAATAATTACAATAAGTTAATACTATATTAAGAATAAATCAAAGTCATTGTTCACACTCACCAGGTGACCTGGTGGCCCTGTGTCTCCTACAGTTCCAGGTGGACCTTTTGGACCAGGGCGGCCCATAAACCCTTTGTCTCCTTTTATGCCTCTCATGTGACTCCCCGGAGGTCCAGGTGGACCAGGCTCTCCTGAATTCACAAAGAGCTTGTCAGTATTCGCAACAAGGGAGCTTGGGAGGTTCTGTTTATCAGTGATTCCTTCTAACAGAAGTGTAAACCCGAAACCTTATTGCTGCAAGCATTCTTTCCCTCGGGTATGTGATGGGACAGTGGTAAAGCTAGGATGAGACTATGCCAGTGAAGCGCTTGGTGCAAGCAGGATCTGGTAGAGTAGGGTCTATGCCTGCTTCCCTGAGCTTAGCCTGATCCCTGACGCAGAGAAGTAGCTCAACCAATACAGGTTGAATGGATGTAAATCTCTTTCAGGCTTGCTGATTTGGTAACTACTCATCTCTCAAGTAGGCGACTCTGTCTCAACAAGAGCAACAGAGTTACTGCTCTGAGAACAGGTGGGTGAGAGAAAATAGAGAGTACTAGAGGGAAAAGGCAACAAGGGAACGTGAGAAGGAGGCTGAAAACTTCAAATATTATTTCTGTTCTCTAATGTTATTTAAAAGCAAGCCCTCTACCTGGGTTTCCTCTTAAACCTGGTGGACCTCGATCTCCTTTTTGGCCAGGGATGATTGTGCCAGGCAAGCCCGGTGGTCCTGAGTGTCCTCCTATGCCAGGGGGCCCTCGAGGCCCAGCATCTCCCACTGCCCCTTTCCTGCCAGGGAGGCCGGGCAAGCCTGGTGCTCCTCTGTCTCCTTTGGCTCCTGAAAAGAAAAGGGCTCCTTAAGTTTCCTTAATGCCCCTATGATTGGTGTTAGAGTTTGTGGTTATCTTTAATAATGTGGGCACTAGGTTTAAAAATGTTAAGATTCAAAATATATGTTTTTAAAAGAGGCTGGTACATGAAATATAGGTCTACAAGAACTGAGTTGAGACTCTGTCTCCAACTAGCTATCTGATCTTGGTAAAATCACTTGGGATTTACTATTACAAGCCTTGATTTTCTTATTTTAAAAATGAAGGTGATACCTGTACTAGCTCAGTTCTTTAAAGATTCAGTGAGACAACATACAGACTGAAAAGCATGGTATAAGCTCTAAAGTGTTATGTAAATGTAAGCCACAATTATTATTATCTAATGAACTTTAATTACAATGATACTGTTTAGTCACTGATAATTCAATAGAGCACAAAAAGGTAAACTACATGGCACTGATGTGTGCATTTGTCTATTGTCCAGTTAAACCCAGACAAAGGAGTGACAAAGTTTTAATACTTATTCTGTTCTCTGGTTAATTCCCTCTCCCCCCAGTCACAAGAACTGGTCTGTTTTCCCAGTAACAGGAACAATATAGTCTGGAAAGGACAAGTGTGGCAGATAGTTAGGATTTACCAAAGAAGACCCCCAAAAGGTCACAGCTTAATAATAATCTTTTTCATCTCAGAAAACCTTTAAGAAATTATGCTTTGACTTCACAAATGGAAAATGTTGTATGAATGGAAAATAATCTCATCCTCCTCCTTCTCATCTCTGTGTTATTCTAGAAATGGTAAATGGCATGGAAATAGGAGACAAGTTTGAGGAAGGAGAGGGAGAATAAGAGTAAGGCTGATGGTACAGGGAAGGGTTTGGGAAGTTATTATGTATAAAGACTTTGAGTGATTATGAAAATAAAATGGATGAATCTTGACAATCTAGCCCTATATTATTCACATTCTTTAGCTTTTTAATGCCTGTAATTTATGCTTTTAAAAAGAAAATGTTTAGAAGACTTCAGCTTGCTCCAACCTGTGTAATGTTGTTTTGGCATGACAATGACCTGAAGCAGCAAGGTATCTTGGGTTGTGTATGCCATGTTCATTAACATGATTACTTGCGCTGCAATATATTGTCTTTTTAGGATTTGGGAGAATAAACTAATGAAAAGGATTCATACCTTCCAAGGCTCAATGAACTCTTCTCCATATTTAGTTATCCTAGACGGACTGAGGTGCATAATCATGTATTTATATAATTAGGTTACTTGTTATTTTTGACGCATTTTAGCCTACATTTTATATCAAATTTTATTTCCAATTAAAAGCTAAGGTTTTCATTTCACATGGCTAAACTGTGAGCTTAGTTTAAGAATATGAACAGCAACTCTTCTTTTGACTGCAATTCTAAAACAAGACTGTGGAATGACTATGGCTTTATATTCATTGAGTGAGGGGTCTGTGAGATGTGGGAAGGACAACCAAAAATCATCAAGAAACAAGTGGAAGTGAACAACTCTTGTCTTATACTTTAATTATTTAGTCAAGAGGCAGTTCTGGCCCAGGTGAATTTCTTAGCAGCATCAGGCTACGCTTTGCTGGCTCTTAGGAGCAATAGTAACTGGAGGCCTCTTTGGGACTAGGCCACTTTGCTAATAAAATTCTCCCATCCATAGGACCCTCAGCTTAGAAGAGAAAATTAAAGGTGCAAACAATCTAATATTTCTCTCCTGGAAGTTTTCTCTACAATATGAAAAAGAGTTAAAAGACATTGACACGAGAAATCCAAACTTGAAATCTGTCAAATAAAAAGCTTATATATACTTTGAATGCCATGTTCAGTAAATTGCCATGTCTGAGACGTTGAGAGAGTCAATGGGCAGCCCTTAATAAACAACAGCATGAATACAAGAGAGTTCTGAGAGTTGGAATCAGACCCATAAAAATACCAAGGTAGGAGAGGATTAGTATTATACTATATCTCAGAACAGCAGGGAAGGATACTTATTGAGAAGCCATTAATTCCACCTCCATCCTTTTAGGAGGTGATACATTTAAAACATGCTAAGAACAAAATAAATACATTAGAATTAATTTTATGTTTAAAGACTTTCATAGAAGGAAATACAACATTGGATCACAGTTTCTAATTCATTCCCTTTGTTGTGATGTTAATAACTAAAAATTTTAAATTGACTACTAAGATAAATATTCTATATTACCATTGAGACTTCTTGAGTTTACTAGGTTGTTTATTTTTTATATCAAGCATATTAAACTGAATTCTGTCCTTGAAAATGTCTATCATTAGGTCAGGGAAGAATATCTGCTTACCTCGAGCACCAGGGTTTCCTCTTGGACCCGGATGTGCCCCCAGTAAACCTGAAAGAGATGATTTTGGCATATCAATATATGGTTAAATTTACTGCATTATACATATATGATGGAAGTATAATTTATCACACACCAAGATATATTAAAGATCATCAGTTCTATCAGAGAAGACTCTTTAGAGAAGTGAAACATTACAATGTCACTAATGAATCTATCCAAAATGAAATGAGTTGATCAAAGATAATGAGCAAATTATACCTGTTTCTCCCTTTTCTCCAGCCGGGCCAGGAATTCCATCATGTCCTTGGTTACCTCTTATACCCATTGGTCCAGGAGATCCTGGGAATCCTGGAAGGCCTGAAAAAAACAAAAACTAAGCCCCGAACCATGGTGTACAAAGAGGGGACTTATTTCCTACCAGTAGTCTGATGTAAATACCAGGGAGATGTATGGAATTGTATTAAAGGGGCTAATTTTTTGGAACCCTAGGTATGTGAGGCTGACTTCACACTGAAAACTGTGCACAGGTTAATATTATCGTGGAGGTTAGCACTTTAGAATGTTTAGGCTGGCAGATATTTGAATTCGATAGATAGAAATCTCTGACCCCAGTTCTCTGCATTTTTGTCTGGGTATTGAGTAACTGGGAGCAACCTTCTGTAGAGCAGTAGTTGTACAGAGATTCTGACCTCAGGAGAAATTGTTTCTCCCTCATGAAAAGAAAATTGAGAAAGTACAAAAATGAGACCTGGAGGGCCTTTTATTCCTGGAGGGCCCGGGAAGCCTTTGATTCCTTTAAAACCCAAATCACCATCAGGACCTGGCTTTCCTAGAAATGAAGAGAGAGTAAGGAAGAAAGATCACCATAAGATAAATGATCACAACAATGACTGATACAGTCACTCCTTACAGTCAACTGTGCTAAAGCTACCCTTAAGGAAGCTCTCTTGTGGCAGATCATCCCAGGCTTTTGACCCACCTGCTATTTCCCCAGCAAACCACCCTAGAGATGTATCAAATCATTTTCAAAAGTGGTACATGGACCAACCACATGAACCACTCAATGTCCAGTTTATTCTTTCAACTGGGAGTTAACTGCAAATTTATCGAAACTTTCAGTGTCTGAACAGATAGTTTAAATATTATATTTAAGATCCAAAGCTGCAAACCAATAGTTTAGCTGTTGTTTTTAATGAAACAAAACAAAAACTTAAACACAAATTGTAGCCTAGTAAAAAGGAAAGGCAAAGGTCAATCTGGAAACACGTTAGAAGAAAAAATCCAGAATGCTGTTGTAGGTTGAATTGTATTGCTCCCAAATTCATATGTTGAAGTCCTAACCCCCACGACCTCAGAATGTCACAACAGATTTGGAGACAGGGTTATTAAGGAAGTGATTAAATTAACATGAGATCAGTAGAGTGGGTCCTAATCCAGTATGAGTTGTGTCTTTAAAAGAGAAGATTAGGACACAGACACCCAGGAGAAAGACACAGGAAGAAGACAGCCATTCACAAGGCAAGGAGAGATGCGTTAGAAGAAGCCAGTGCTGCTGATGCCTTATCTCAGATTTTGAGCCTCTGGAATTGTGAGAAAATATATTTTTGTAGTTTAAGCCCCCAGTCTGTGGTATTTGTCATGGAAGTCCTAGATAACTAAATAAAAAAAATAAGGCCAGGTGCGGTGGCTCAAGCCTGTAATCACAGCACTTTCGGAAGCTGAGGTGAATGGATTGGCTGAGTCCACAGGTTCGAGAACAGCCTGGACAACTTGGCAAGACCTCATCTCTACAATAAATCAAAAAATTAGCCAGGTGTGATAGCGCATGCCTGTAGTTCGGGCTCACCTGAGCCCAGTGGGTTGATGCTGGGGTAGCCATGAGCATGCCACTGCACTCTGGCCTGGGCGATGGAGTGAGACTCCCATTCAAAAAGAAAAACAAAACAGAACAAAATATTGCGCAATGAACTAACATTTTTGTGTCTTTAGACTGAATTTGTTGAGACAGCACTTCAAAAGTTTTGTTTATAGAACATCTTTATATTTCAGCACACCAGTAAGAAGATTAGTAATTAGCCTCCTCCTGATTAGTTCCCTCTTACTTATTGTCTTAGAATTTGAAGTTCAAAGCGAATAAAAGCAACTGCAGCATGAAAGCATATATAACTTTCTATTTACAGAGATGATTCCAGGAAGTGAGGGCCATATGATGAGTAAAGCTTCCAGCTTTCAGAATTGTAAAGCCAAGGCTCACCTGGGTGGCCAGGACTTCCAGGACTTCCAGGGACTCCCTCAGGTCCAGCAGGCCCCGAATGTCCAGGTGGGCCAGGTGGCCCTCTTTCTCCTTTCTTTCCCATGTCACCTGGCAATCCTGGATCCCCCTTAAATTTAGTCAAACACCTTTAAAATTCTCATATAAGCAGGATATGTGGTTAGAATTATTAAGTATAAACTTCATTCATTCATTCTTCAATTCATATTTAGTGCCTGCTATCTGCCAACATTGTGATAAGTACTGGGATTAGGATGACCACATAGTCTGTGGGGCCCAGCACATAATAAAAATGTGGCTCCCTTTTAAAGTTTTTGAAAGAATTTCAAGACAGCTACAGCAGAATGTTAAACCAAGCATGGGGCCCTTAGCACAGTACCTCCATGACTACACTGGTTGTATGCCCATGAAGCCAATTCTTACCGGAATCTAATGATAACCATATGTGAATATATGATATATATCATCCCTACCTTCATGAAGCTTCAGAGACCAGTAAGGAGATAGATATTAAATAATCACACAAATGTGTAATTACAAATTATGATGACTAACTGGGGGTAAGAAAGAAATAGACTAAATGAAATTGCTATGCATACAGCTAAGTATATGTCAATCATATGTCTAAAAATATTTTAGTGATTTAATATTCATTCAGTTTTATTATAAACCAGAACATATGGGTTTGATGACAACTTGCAAAATTTCTTTAGTAACCAATTACAATATATTACTGTTACTCTGATTTGCTAGCATGATAAAACCAGCTCATTTTGTGTTCAATGCACAGTTCTAAAAATTTCTTCTGGTGAGTTACCTATGAAAACCCTAAATTTAAATTAAACTATTTTTTAAGTGAATGTGAATTAAGTCAAATAGGATTCCTTAGCAATAACATATCTCAGTGGAAGGAGTTTCTCTGGTTTTCTGAAGACTTGATGTACATATAAAGAGCAAATGAATTTGTCTGTGCTCTAAGTAATACAGTTTTTTTCTTGGGTCTGTGTGGTGTTTAACATTTTTCTTTATTGTTTTAGCAATTACTGGAGAATACTGTTGGTAGAAATCTTTAGGAAAGATGGTATTTTATTGACTCAAAAGGGAGAGACAAGGTTCCCTGAGTAATAATTTTTATATGTTTTGGAGTCATATACTCTTGAAAATCTGATAAAAAAAAATATAGACTCACCCCCACAAAAAAATTTTCAAACATTTTGCATTCAATTTCAAGAGGTTAGTGGGCTTCTGGAGATCCCACAAATACTGAGAACATTTAGACAAGATAAAAATATTCTGCATAATAGAATAAAAATACTTAAGGTTCTAAAGCAATTAGGAAAGATAACTAGATGCATCATAGGATTGTGTTTGGTTTCTAATGATATTCCAAAGTTATTTTATTTTGTATATTTGTTATGTCTTAATACAAGGGTTTTTTATTATGAGGTTTAGAAAGTTATTTTTCTAAGTTTACGTGAGATGAGTTCATAGCAGAGACTGTTCACTTTGTATCACAAGAAAAAAACCCACTGCCCTGTCAGATTATGTGAGCTGGTAATCACTGCCCCTTTCTGGCAGCACACTTGAATTACAGGGACAGTGTGAGAAATTCCTTAGCAGCTGAAAGAGGTTTTTGGAAGTTAACAGCTGGGTAATAGTCAGGCATCCTCAGTTGTGGAAATAAGATTAAAAATCCAAATAAATGCCTGAAAGTGCAGTAATAATTTGTTTCATTTGTCCACACTGAATCTGGATACTTGTTAATATTTCGAGGGGCTCCCTTCTACCACCAAAATTTAAATATTTCAGTGGCCTATATACCATTGGTCCTGGTTGTCCTGGCCTTGTATCTTCCGAATAACCTGGTTCTCCTTTATCTCCTTGGAGACCGTGAATACCTGGGAGGCCTGGTCTTCCTGCACGACCTGGAAATCCTAAACTTCCCCTTTTTCCTTTAGAACCTGAAATTAGGAAAAGGATCAGGTAAAATAATAGATATCATAAAATATTCTACTTTTGAATTTTGCATAAACCGCCCTTCTCCCAAGAAATTAGTTTTTCAGGACCACAAATGCATTAGGTAGTTAGTTATAATGGATAATTTTTATATAGCATCAATTTTTATTTTGTTCTTATTTGTATTTTGGTCACACACAGTACAATTACCTAAAAGCAAATCTAGTTTTTGTTTTTTTTTGAGTTGGAATCTCACTCTGTCACCCAGACTGGAGTGCTCCTGGCCACTGCAGCCTCGACCTGCTGGGCTCTGGTGATCCTTTCACCTCAGCCTTCCAAGTAGCTGAAACTACAGGTGCGTGCCACCACGCCCGGCTAATTTTTGATTTACTGTGGAAATGAGGTCTCACCAAGTTGCCCAGGCATGTCTCGAACCCACGGGCTCAGGCAATCCACTCACCTCAGCCTCTCAAAACTCTGGGATTACAGACTGAGCCACTGAGTCCAGCTCAAATCTAGTTATTTTACATAAATGTCCTACATACACAACACAGAAAATCTAGAATTATGACCTGTCATGAGCTTGTGTGCTCATAACAGGACCTTATGCATACCTGGCATGCCCATATTCCCTGTGCTTCCTGGCACACCATGCGGTCCTGGTTCTCCAGGATTCCCGATGCTGCCCAGATCTCCTTTGGGACCTTGAGAACAGATAAATAGTCATATGCTCTGCACAGTTCCTGGAGATAGTATGTGCTCAATAAATATTTGTTGCTTGCATGAACAAATCCAGAACAGCCAGACAAACTGGTTTAGGTGTTTGTCTAACTGCCCTTTTGCCTTCAGATAAAGAGAGAACTGGGGACCCAGAACATGTAAAATTAGAGAAAGTGAGATTTTTGTCAGCAGGCTGGATTTTAAACATCAAAATCATTCCAGGACCAACTCCAGAGGGAAAAGCGGGTACCTGTGACCATATAGATAATATATTTCCAATTGTGTACTGAAGTTTTATTGTCATGTAATATATTTTGTTACTGAGGTGGTTATGGGGAACGGTGGGATACTTTAATTATTTAAAAATTATTTTGCAAACTCAATAATTTGTTTTAAAAAAGAAAGAGGCAAATCTGGAAACTTATAAAGCATTATCTAATTTTTATCTTCAACATGTGATATTGTGATCAATCATAATTTATAATACATACCAGCAATCGCAGAATAAAATTTTGAGGACAAAAGTGAATCTATGTATAAGTTAATTTTTTGTTAATACATGTCAACCATAAATGCCTTCATTTAAGTTTAATTTAGTAGCAAATTTCTGCTAGAACGCTATCAACACAGAATTCATATTCAACCCAAGATGTCTAGAAACTAGTTTTATTACATTTAGAACTAGGAAAACTTAAAACATAATATTTCCACTTGAGAACAAGCTGTACCTGGTGGTCCTGGAGGTCCAGGTAGTCCTTTGAGGCCTTGTAAACCTGGCAACCCTGGAATGCCTCTGTTTCCCTTCTCACCTGGATTTCCTGTGAATCCTAAAGTTAAAAGCCAGGTATTAAAAATATAAGTTAGATTTTTGCCAGACTCATCCATATGCTGGTTTGCATTGATGATATATTATTGTAGTACAGCATAGCATGTTTCTTAAGAGCACGGGCAGGTGTGGGCTTCTGTCTTTTTAAGAGGAGGATTAGGCTGGGTGCGGTGACTCAGCCTGTAATCCCAGCACTTTGGGAGCCCAAGGCAAGAGGATTGCCTAAGCCGGGGAGTTCAAGGCCAGCCTGGGCAACTTGGTGAGACCTCGTCTGTACTATAAATCACAAAAACTAGCCGGGCTTGGTGGCGTGCGTCTATAGTTTCAGCTACTTGGAAGGCTGGGGCGGAAGGATTGCCTAAGTCCAGCAGGTCGAAACTGCAGTTGCTGTGAGCATGCCACTGCATTCCAGACTGGTTGACAAAGAGTGAGACTTCAACTCAAAAAAAAAGATTAGATGAGGTAATATGTGTACAGCATTAGCATAGTGCCTGGCATGAGTTAGTCCTCAATGAACACTAGCAATTATTATAATATTTAGCCTTTAAAACAATATTTTAAGAATGAATGGCCTAAATGTATCATTTTTTAATAGTAAAATCCAAGCACGGTCTACTACACTATTCTCATCTAGACTATTCATTCTCAATTCATTTATTAAAATTATCGCTTATTAAGTAATTAGGTAAGTCAAAGGCCTCTTCCAAAGTCATACTGTCAATCAGATATAACACTGGGATTTGAGTTCAGTTCTGCATGACTGGAAAACTCATAAAAACTTCAGGTTGCCAATCTACTTTCCCTAAAACATGATTTTGATCTCATATTATTCTCCGGCACATAAATATTCATTGAATCTCTACTATGCACAGAGTAAATTGCAAAGTCCTTCAGCTGCATGAAGCATTCTACAATCTGTCTACGGCCTGGCTTTGTGCCTTTTCTCAGCAGATATACTTCCCTTGGCTGTTTTCCTGCTTATGCACTTATTCATTCACATATGGGCTGATTACCTAATTAATAGACAAGTCTTGTGCTGCATCCTGGAGATACAAATAAGTCATGTTCTCTTTCCTTAAGTTTTTAGTGTTTAATTGGGGAGACAGCCAAGTAAACAAACAATTGTCATCCAGTGAGATAAATTCTGTAATAGAGTTGAGCACAATATGCCACAGAGAAGAATTTCTGGAAGAGGAAAGGATATGTTTTAGCTCAATCCTGAAGACCAGGTGAGAGTTAGTTGGGTGGAGAAGGCATGAAATGGGACAAGATTCCCAAACAGGAAAATTGCACGTGCAAAGGAATGATGAGTATGGGGGATCAGATTGTTTTGTTTCTCAACTTTTGTTTTTCCCGTTTATGTCACTTATCACAATCTTAAAACATATACCATTTAGTATGTTCATTTGCTTCAGTTTTTTTAGGGGCTGGCAAAATACAGCCTTCGGGCTGGATCTGGCTTGGTTTTATATGGCTTGATTGAGAGTTAAGGGTGCTTTTTACATTTTTCAAGGATTATTAAAAAACAAAAACCAAAGAAGAATATGTAACAGGGACTGTATATGATCCACAAAGCCCAAGGTATTTACTACCTGGCCTAGAAAGAATGTTTGCAGATCCATTAATATCTCCTTCCTCCCCTAAACTGCAAGTCTCACCATGACCAGGAGACCAAGTCTGTTTTGTTCACCTCTGTGTATTCAGAATGTAGTAAAATGCCTAGTCCATAGGTATTAAAAAAATAATTGCTGAGTACATAAATGTCACGTGACTGGGGAAATAGGCAAAGGGCAAGTGGTGAAAAAACTTGTATGTCAGTCTAGGAAGTTTGAATTCTGAAAGCAAGGAGTGACTTGCAAAGATGTTAAGCCAAGAGTGTTTTTTGCTCATGTGAATCCAACTCACAGTTAAAAATCCTCTTTCAGGGAGGCTTCTTTGACTACGCTAGTCTTTGTGTTTTCTGCCTCCCTCAACTTCTACAGGGCTTACAGTCAGTGGTACCTGGCAGCACAGTGGGGAGGTCAAGTATGGACTTCGGAACCAGCCACATCGGTGTGATGCCCATCTCTGCCGTTTTCTACCCAAATGATATCGGACAGTAACTTAACCTCTCTATTCCCCATCTGTAAAATGGGATGATAGCAATGACAATACATACTCCTAGGGTTGCTGTGAGGATTACGTGAATCGGTGTTTGTTACCTAGAACAGTATCTGCACACAGTAAGTGCAACATAAGTCTTTGTTAAACAATATCACAGTACTAATTTTCACCTTGCATTACTCATTATCTTTTTATACATATATCTTTTTATACACATTCAGACTCCTTGAGGACTTATCTGTTACTGTGCTTATTTTTATGTTCAATGTCTCTTCCACATTTGCAGTGAATGTCTTTAAGTCCGAAATTCAGATTTAAAAAAATGGATTATTCTGAAATTAGAGAACCCTAAACAACAAGTTATTTTTCTTTTTTCTTTCTTTCTTTCTTTCTTCTTCTTCTTCTTCTTTTTTTTTTTTTTTTTGGTTCAATCTGTGTTCCTTGGTTATGCATTTAAAAAGTCAAAAGAAAACATACAGAACAGCTTCCATGCATACTGTACTTTGGGTAAAATGGTTTTGTTAGAAGCATAGAAATAGCACAATAGCTGTGTCTCTATACTTTGTAAAAGGGTTTCTTCAATTGCAAATTAGTTCTCATTGTGCATTTATGCTGTGAGAGCCAAATCTCAGCTTATGTAGGCAGAAATATGCTGTTCATATTTTTTTTCAAAATGTTTCTTACGCTTACTTAGAAAACACAGAATAGTCTGTGGTGTTTATGCAGGCAGTTTATGAAGGCTGGAAATTTGTGTGAGTATTTTTTTTCATATCAAGGCTTAAGTCAGTTCTAGCAGAGTTTTATAAAATTCATATTGCTTTCTATTTCATTCTTAAAAATAAAATGAAATCTTCTGTTTGTACTAGAACTAAACTATCTCTTTGACATCAGGTTAAATGGGGACTACTCCATAGACTTTTACTTCCTAACTCCCCAATTAGTTTTTCTGACATGGTCCGTAACACTCTGTGAAGAATTTTTAAAGCAAATCCTTACTCAGACCACAAATCCTTTTATGCCAAGAATATCAATATTTGTTGAATATAATCTCATTTTTCAAAATTCATTTCACATTTCTCAAAATTTGATATGGTTTTGCAGAGACGAACACTTTTTTTGTTGTTTTTTATTTCTTCCCTGCAATGAGAGTTGGATCTGCAAAGGTAACTTTTCCCCAGCAATTCTTTGTTTTTCTAAAGTTACTTGGAATTAAATGTGGTCAAGAAGACCAAAAGGGCGGGGGGGAAGAAGAAGACCAAAGAAGTCAAAAAAGGCAGTGGAGGCTTTCTTAAAATCTGTTTCATATTAATTGTTTTGATCATACAACAAAAACTGCCACAAAAAGTGCCCAAATAATTTGAATGGGTTTTAATTTTAGCCTAATGGTACCTAACAATAATATTTATAAAGGGTTAAATTTGTATGAAAACTTTTTAGTAATTATTCTCCAAAGGATTTTGAGCAGTTTTTAGATGCAATCACAAAAATTTATCCTGGTGGTTGATAGAATGGAGTTGAATTTGAGATGAAGGTTTTAATTTCAGCCAGAGAAGTCTTTTAATATGGAATTTTCTAAGGCTTAATTTTCTCCATACTTGGCAAAAAGAGGGTTTTGAGGTTTATAATTTAAAAATCGACTAGTGCCAATTTAAATACAGAAGACAGAAAAGCAGAATTAACTTAGAAATAAAAAAAAGTATGCATTAAGAAGGCAACACATTATTGTGGAAGGCACCTTAGGTCTAGTTCGTGCTCAGCTGCCAAATGGCTGTGAGACTTGGGCAGGCCACTCAACACTGGCCCTTGTCCTCATGTGCTGACTACAAGGATATGCCCAGATCATTTCCTAGTCCCACAACAAGCTCTGATGTTCTGATTCTAAATGTAAGGAATTCTTTACCTTTGAGACCAGGTTCTCCTTTGTCCCCCATTATGTGGGATATTTGAGAAGGCCCAGGATTTCCTTTCTCTCCTTGTTCTCCTTTGGCTCCTGGGGCTCCTTTCTTGCCCTTTACTCCAGGGATTCCAGGACTACCTGACAGGAGGAACCTTCATTCTCAAAATAGTTCATAGGGATTCACAAGTTAACAGTGCTTACAATGAAACAGAACAAAGCGAACAAACAAAAATGGTTAACAGTGCTGAGAAGTTGATCGTTTCCCCAAACGGGCAGCCACATAAGATAGTATAAGGCTGCAGGGAGAAAGCAGGATTCCATTCCAATGGGAAAACATAATATAGAAAACAGCAAAATCAGATACATTGTTCTCTCAGAATTATTCCCCTGCCTCAAGAATGAAATGTAATTTATATTGCTGCTAAATAAATGAACACTGTTTATTCCTCCTAGTATCTAGAAAGACACTCCATTACTTACCCCTCTGCCCCAGGATGCCAGGGTTTCCAGGAGGCCCTGGAGGGCCAATGGCTCCAGGAAAGCCCATCATCCCAACCATTCCATTTTCACCTATGGATACAAATTCATATAAAGCGTCAATGATGTACAGAATGAGAAAAGCAAAATATTTCACAAAATAAAATAAATTATACTTAGAAGTAGAGACTGGGAATTTGAAGAATGATTTCTGTAAATAGGAAACTAACCATATTTGTCTAGGAGATGAGCCAGTAAGAGGTCTTCCCCGCCCCCATCTATGTGGAAGCCACTGGTAGCAAATCACATTTATAGGTGAGAATAGAATATGTTGAAGTTTGGGAACATGTCATCATCTTACCCCTTAATCAATAGTTTTCTATTATATTTATTTATTTTCTTTTCTCCATAGCACATGTCTCAAGTTGAGTGTAGCTTTTTATCCCCCCTGAGTTTAGGTCTCAGTGTGTCACCCAGGCTGGAGTGCAGTGACACAATCACAGCTCACTACAGCCTCAACCTCCTGGACTTAGGAGATCCTTCTGCCTCAGCCTCCCAAGTAACTGGGACGCCAAGCAAGCACCATCACACCCATCTAATTTTTTGATCTTTTGTAGAGACTAAGTTTCGCTATGTTTCCCTGGCTGGTCTCAAATTTCTGGGCTCAGGCAATTCTCCCAAAATACTGGGATTACAGACATGAGTCATCACACCTGACCCAAATGGAGCTTATTATCTAAATGTACTTATTATTGCTTCTCTACTATGGGAAGGGAGATTTATCCACCAATGTGTCTCTAGAGCCTAGAATAGTGCTGGCACATGATAGGAGTCCAACAAAAGGAATAAAAGGATCATTTGCTGATTAAGTTTTCTGGACTTTTCTCTGGAGGGAGGATCAATGAGGTCCTTATGCCATGAGAAAACTGTTAGAATATTCCTCCCAGTTTGAGACCAACCCAGGCAACTTGGCAAGATCTTGTATCTACAATAAATAAAAAATTAGCTGGGTGTGGTGGTGTGCACCTGTAGTTCCAGCTACTTGGAAGGCTGAGGCGGAAGCATCACCTGAGCCCAGCAGGTTGACGATGGAGTGGCCATGAGTGTGCCACTGCACTCCAGTCTGGGCCACAGAGTGAGACTCCAACTCAAAAAAAAAAAGAATATTTCTCCCAAATTTATAAGCTATGAACATAGCCATGAAATAAAAATGATTATAGAGGAATATTATGAACAACTCTATGGTAACACATTAGATAATTTGCACAAAATAAACAAATTCTTAGAGAAACATAATTACCAAAACTGACTCAAGAAGAAATAGGAAATCTGAATATACCTATTACAAGTGAAGGGATTGGATTTGTAGTTTAGAGACTTCTCACAAAGCTCAGATTCAGATGACTACACTGGTGAATTCTACCAAATGTTTAAAGAATATCAATTCTTTACAAACTCTTCCAGAAAATACAAGAGGAGGAGATACTTCCAGATTGTTCTACGAGACCAGCATTACCCTGATACCAAAACCAGACAAAGACCCCACAAGAAAATTGTAGACTAATATCCCTTGTGAATATAAATGAAAAAAATTCTCAACAAATACTAGCAAACATATTATAGTAGTAGTATATAAACAGAAATAGACAGCAAAAATAACCATATCCTGGGTATTTGTAAATGTGATCATCCTGCCACCACCATGTCTCCACCCCCTGGCCCTGATCCCCTAGTGATAATTCAAAAGGAAAAACTTACACTATGCCTATATACAGTTTACAGAGCCACCTTAAGGGGAAAATGTGGATGAAGACATAACAGAAAAATAAAAACACAAAAAAGAATACCTGGTGCCCCTAAAAATCCGGGATTTCCTGGATATCCTTTCCGACCAGGTGGTCCCATCTCACCTGGATGACCGGGCATTCCTGGTAGTCCAGGTTCCCCAGGAAATCCTGACCTATCCAAGCCAGGAATCCCTGGGTCTCCCTTCAGCCCTGTTTTGCCTCTTCTGCCTATATATATATAAACACATGATTGAATTAATGAATGAATAAATAAATTAACTCACAAATGCTTTTCCCCACTGACTCCAGAAATACTTTATGGCTGTAAATATTTAGTTGTGTGATTTAGGGTAAATTGCACATTTACGTGTGTGTGTGTGTGTGTGTGTGTGTGTGTGTGTGTGTGTGTGTGTGTTATTGTCCCCCACCTGTAAAACTTCTGACTCTATCATACTGTTTCAATGATTCATGCAGTAATAAATTATCTATATTTATAAATATATCTATTCCCGAGTCATACGGGACATTCTGGTATTGCACTTTTTGACTGTCTCTCAGTCCTTAACCTGCAGAAGACACATAGAGCCCCTCACATGGAATTAAGCAGCTGGATGCCTCTGGAAACAATAAGAGTGCCTTTATAACAATTAAGATCTAGGCCAAAAATTTATTTGTGAACATATAAGCAGGATGATAGACCACAGACATTAACTGAGAATTTTTCCCAAAGACATTTCATCAGATCTGACTGAGATGATCCAAAAAGATAGAGGAAGTTATCCATTGTCTGAAACATCTAGCTTACATCATCAGATTTATTTTGATACTATTTCTGTTGTTTCTTGTAAAGCAGTCAACCACATATTTTATTTTATAACTTGTTAAACTGGTACCTTTGCATACATTTACTCTATTTTAATGATAATAAATTTGCCACTTTAACATACTTATAGAAGTATTAAAGGAAAAACATTGATAGTTCACGTGTATACGAATATATATGTAAATATTCATCCATCTATCGTCTATCTATCTATCATCTGTCTTCTATTTTCATATTTGCTATAAAAGATACAAACCAACACACTATACTAACTTCAGGTTACTTTCTTTGTGGGTATACACACTGCTATGTGTAACAAATCCATGACAGCAAGGTTTACATTTCTGAAATAACATTTCTTATTGAACAGTGGTCAAGCCTTGTTGCTGGACAGTTCCCATGTCAAGCAGCAAAGTACAGAGCAGGAGTTCCTACGTCACCTGCCCATTTGGGGACTGGTTTCAAGGCTCTCCTCCTACCTTGTTGCCCTTTGAGTCCATTTAAGCCTGGAAGTCCTTGGGCTCCCCTGGGCCCCTCTATGCACTTTCCTGGAGGTCCTTTATCTCCAGGTGGTCCAGGCTGCCCTGGATCGCCTGCACAAAAAAGTCCAAGATCATATTCAGGTGCCAAAACTTAAGGTCCTGGTATTGCTGTACCAGTCATTCTTCTGTAACTTTTCCCCCCTAAATCATAACTCTATGGAATTCCATTTCTATGCCTTTTGTAGATGGTACTCATGAAAAAGGAAAGAATGAAGGAAGATAAAAAAGGAAGAAAAGTAGGGCAGGAACATGGAATGGGAAAATAATTAGACCTGGTGGTTTCTATTCACTGAACTGAAAGCTTTTTTTTAAAATTTAAATTATATTTAATTTTAAAATTTTTATTATAAAGGTGGGGTACAATTCAGGGTTAGGTATACAAACATTGATTATGCAGGTACCCTTGTTGATGAGGTATGCCCCTCCCTCCCCTAGCAGTTTCCCTCAACTGCCAATTCCCAGCCTCCTTCCCCAGACAGTTTCCCACTACTGCCAATCCCTTTCTTATAGTATTATAATTTAACTAGAAGCTTTATTTGAGAAGAATTCTTCACCCCTAGAGCACGTGTGGATTTAGCTTGCTGCATGTTAGCCAAGATCACAGTGAAAAAAGTAATCACACTTGCTATTGTACCTCGTGGCCCATCAAGCCCTTCATTTCCTGGAATTCCAGAGAGACCTGGAAGTCCAGGGAGTCCAATTTCTCCATGTTCCCCAGGATTCCCTCTTTCTCCTGGAAAACCTGGTGTTCCTGGTTCTCCAGGCATGGATAGTGCTGGTTCTCCCTATGCACAGAAATTATGTTAGTTTTGCTACGTAATGCTTCCAAATCCTCCCTGATATTGACTGATCTCTGCTATGGAGGCTCTAAGTCCCTGTGCACAGCCACCACCATTCCATCAACTACCCTTTTCAACTCTAGTTGCTGACTTCTCTATAAAATAATGCTTCGGGATATGTAGCCTCCACTTTTCCAGAAGACTGTAGAATTGTCTATAAACAAAAACCTAGATGTCTTTACTTTTGATAGATTTTTCTGACAGTTACTCACATTCCTTGCTAGGGTTCTCCCATTTTAGATACTCAGAGTGTTTATGAAGCCATTAAAGAAGAAACAGAGATGCAGACCCACCTTGTAATACCTTCTATTTTCCTTTCTAAAAAGGAGGATAGTCCTGAGAAACTTTAAAACAATATTTAATATCTTCATCATCCATGAATGTATTGGGTAATTTCTACACCCAAAGAGGCCTGCCTGGTGGGGACATTCTAACTGGACTATTGTGGTCGCCCTTCTCCCCTATGACAGTGTGAGTTTAAACTCTTGCTGACCTTGGCTCCTGGGCGGCCTGGCTCCCCTGGTAACCCAGGCTCTCCCATTTTTCCAGGACAACCCAGTAATCCTTTTGTTCCTGGCAAACCTTGGTCTCCTACAAAGAAAAAAAAAAAACATTGTAGGATTAGTCTTACTGAAAGATTCTAAGCAGAAACTCTCTTACATCTCAACAGCTAGAGGTTATTTTAATGAAATTTGAGTGATGAGAAAACTATTTGATAAATTAGCAATGAAGGACAATATCAGTTCCCAGTCAGATGACATTGGTTCCCAATTTTAAAAAATGACTTTTTCCATTTTTGTTATTTAGCATGCCTATAAGTTTGATTCAGCAGTTCTTCAAACCACTGATGCTGGCGGATCATTTGACTTTGTTTTTGAAGTATTTTTTCCATACAGTGTGCTGCTAAATGAATTTTTAAAATATATATATTCATCTAAACACAACCCAGATGAAGATATACAGCTTCTTCAGCACCCAAGGTAGACTTTCTAAACAGGGATTGCCCAAAAGAATTAAGTCCTAATGCCCTATAGCATCCATTGTGGATTAACTTCTTATGCATTTATAGTAGGAGAATTGAGAAAGGAGTCTCACACATCATCTTCTATGTTGTGGTTTAGAAGAAGAAAGTCTGTTGAAGCAAGGCTGCCTTCAGAGAGTTCCTTCATGCCCATAACTTGACCAATGTTTAATTCATGGTTAGCTGATGGGATTCATAGGTTAAACTGTGAAACTGTAAATCTCCACTTTTAAGAAGCACTAGAGTTAGTTTTGGTTCCCATCATCTACAGTCTTCTTTCAGAGAGTGAATACTTAAAGTTACACAGCTAGGATGAAATTTATTAATGCAGACTCTAAGATTAACTAGGTAAAAATATGAGCCAGGCCTCATTACTTCACAGATCATTAGGAAGACATCCAAGAAACTGGATTCAATATCATTCTTGAGAACACACGAGAAATGTGATTGCTTTCCATTTCAATATTCATAAATTGAAATAAATAGTCCCATATTTGGGAAGAATTCATGTATAATAAACATTGATACCATATTAATGTTTTGGGAGATGAAGCACCCACAAATGCATTATCTTTTGAAATTTTAAATAATATTGAAACAAACATGAAATTATCATAAAACCTGCAGTTCTCTGTGACAACCCAGAGATTGAGGTTATTCATACGTCATCCTGCATACGACTCTCATGTACTCATCAGTGGGAGGTCTCAGGCCATTGTTGGAACTGTTAGCATCTAAATTTTTGTGAGAGTATTTACCCTTTGAGGGGAAACAGCATTTTTTCCTAAAGAAAAATAACTTTTGGAATTTACTATGGGGAAATCAACTACTTGTGATTTAATAGTTTCTTATTAAAAAATAAACGTATAAAATAAAGTGTATACATGTAAAAAGTGCAGACATTTATTAAGAAGTAACAAGAAATACTTATAATTCCACAATCAAGAAGAATCACTATTGTCATTTTGGAGAAATTCCTTTGAGTTGTTTTCTATGCGTTTTTAACAATACAGTTGAGATAAAATTGCATAAATTAATGTGAATTCTGCCTTTTCACCTAACATTATTGTAAGATTTTTTCCTATTAAAGACTCTTGAAAAGCATCATTTTAAAAGATACATTGGTAATTTCCTATTTAATCACTTTATGTCATATAGTCTATTTATATTTTTGTATCCTATTTGTTTTATTTATTCATACTTATATCTTCTAAACAACCACAATAAACCTTATGTTTCAAAACTTTTAAATTTACCCTTAGGTCCAGGAGGCCCAGGAAATCCAATTCCTGAAATTCCTGGTTCACCATCAGGTCCAGGAAGACCAGGATCACATTTTCCAGTGGATCCAGGGGTACCTTAAAAACACATACACACACATCTCCACATCAGAAAATTTCCCTCATCTTGCTTTCAAAGAAAATTTCTAAGTTTCTGTGTCATCCTATCCCTTTTTGGAAATCAAGAAAAAAATTTAACATAACCCCAACTGTATACCATTTC